ATGGCTTCAAACAATAGAAAAGAAGAAAAATAGAAAGAATAAAGTAAATAAGACCTACCACTTAAATAATAAATAAGAAGAAGAAAGATAAAATAGAGAAAATTATGTATAAAATGACAAAAATGTGAAAACCATCAAAATGTGGGTGGGTCTTTGCTTCTGCAATTTGGCTTCGAAGTTAGAGGACCAAAGTTTAAAAGGCTAGATGTATATCACGGAGGTTGATGTTAAGTTCTCGTACAGAAAATCTTCATAATACAGGTGTGCAAACTGCAAAACGCGTTCAATAAACAGAGACGGTTTTGAGGGGGTCCTGAAAATATTGGAGATGTCATCATTTCATATCACATAAGAGTGGTAGTACGTACCATGCATTTGGATATATTTATTCGTAAAAAGGCGGAAGATTCTGTCTGTGATCTCTATATATATGGCTTGTCGAGTCGAAATGAACAAACATTATTATTGGAAATGATGGCCTAGATATTGCAAGAAACGTGGAATATAATTGAGAAGCATATATGTAATGTGTACAAAACTCGTATCTGCCGGAGCCTAGGAATTTGCATGGAGGGATTTAAGGGATTTTTGATACCTAATGTCGGATCGATACAAGTCAGGCCATTGGAAAATTCTTATATCCAATAAGTGTAAGAACTTTTGAGTTTTGAATGAAAAGGAGCGAAACTCTTCATTTTTGTTGGTCAAAAGCACAGACATCGCATTTTGTTAAGATTCATTTTAGCAGCCTTTTCTTCTTTTCTTGCTTATTTAAGACGGGTCCAGCTCATGTTCCTCTCTTATAACTTTTTTTTTAATAAATAAAATTCACCCTCCTATTGTCAATATTTTAAATAAATAAATAGTTAGTATCGAAGGTGCACTATTATTCTTTTGAAAAGCTTATGCTTGCATAGTGGTTCAAGTGATCATCATCTTCTTCACGTTTTGCCAGTTAGTTTAATATTGAATGGGCACATTCTAATCCTAGAAGGAAAAGAGGGAAACAGATATTCAATTAAAATGAGTAAACAAAATTTCATACTCTATCTCATAGATACAAATAAAATTATGTGAAAATTAGTACATAAGACTATATATATTTGCACAAATCCAATGTTTTAAATAGGGGTTCGCTTTTTTGAAACTGCCATTGAAAGGTTATAATGGCTTTTCCAAGATTGCACATGACAGATCATAAGGCTTCGTGTTCAAATTGTAATTATAGTAATGAACCAAGCAATTAGTCAATCTTGTAAAATTAGTACCAATGAATACTATTATATATCTTCTTAAATAAGACATACAATATTTTACTCAAAAGAAAAAAAGAAGACTAATACAAATATCGCATTTTTATAAAAAATAAAAAATAAAAAAGAATTAATAGCCTATTTTAACTAGGCAATTGACTATAATAATCAAAAACTAAATTTTAAATGCTAAACTGATTATACACCCTTATAAAGCCATCATATTGCCTTTATATATATAGGCCCATTATGCTACTCAGTATTACTGTCTAATAGTATTCATATTCACTTGTAATTGAGAGGTAGGTTCGATTCTTATCAAATGTAAATTTGAACCACATTATTGCTAGCCATTGTGAAATTAAGTCTACCCCTCCTCCTTAGTATAGATATTGTTCAAAAATAAAAAATAGGCCCATTATTTTTTCACTATTGATTAATTCAGCACTTGAATGTTGTTGAATCATTATAACAATCAATATCCATTTTAATTAGAGTAATATTATACATAATCCATTAGCCATAATATGCATGTGTGATATATCTTTATACTTGTGAAGGTCAAGTGGAGTTCCAGTCGTCATATCCGACATGACACAGAATAATTAAGTTTTAACTATAAAATCCGATTTCCAATTATTAATTCAGAGGTGGACTGGTGTTTTTCTTTATTTTTTTTATTTTTTTTATTTTTTTTTGGTGTCAAGAGGTGGACTGGTTAGAATACATCACAATTTAACTCAGCTGACTAAACCCTAATTAACGATGGTGTTTGAACGTGCTAGCCATGCAGATTATTGCAGACACGAAGAAAAATGAAACCAGGAATAGCGGTTATAACGTCACTGTAATGCTTTTGCATAATTCTTATTATAAATAATTTTATTCTTTAATTTGATTAGCTTGTCTCATCCTCTCCCACTACTTGATTTTATTTTATATAGACAGCTTTAATCCTGTATTGGATCAGGAATCCAACATGCCAAAGCATGAAGTAATCATTGAAAAATAGAAAATGGGAATTGTTATTAGTACTCCAAAAAGAAGTGTATTTTTCTTTCTAGTTATAGAAAGTTTGAAGTGCTAAATGAGATTTTTGGAGTGCTAATAACAATTCCCTAGAAAACTAATAATTAACAAATATTGTTAGGTACTTAGTGCAGTTTACACCCTTCGGTCTTTGACCTAACAATTTATAGGGTAGTGTTACCACACACTTATTTTTACTTCTCATATATCCGTTTCAATTTTTAATTGTCGTATAGAATAAAAAAAAGGTCGTACCCAGTGCACAAGGCTCCCGCTTTACGCAGGGTCTGGGAGAGGTGAATGTCGGCTAGCCTTACCCCCATTTATGGAGAGGCTGCTCCCAAGTCTCGAACCCGAGACCTACCGCTCATGGACGAAGGCACTTGCCATCGCACCTGAATTGAAAAAAATCAATGTTAATAAAATTAACAAGAATGTATGAGCAGTAAAAATGAGTGTGGGATTAACACTTTCCTAATCTATATATCTAACTTTTTTTTGTGTGTGTGTGTATTTATCCACTATACGTTGAAGATCCTGTAATTTCGTTTTCTATTGCATTATTGTTGTACTGTTTTACTTAATTAGAAACCCTACAGTGCCGCAGTGCCGCAGTGCCAGAAATCTTACATGTGACACCATGTTGGGTTTCAAAATTTCAAATGATGAAAAAAAAGAAGAAAATAATAATTTCAAATGTAGTGAAATGACTACATCTTGCTAAGATTTTATTCGAATAGAATTATAAGAGATGTATTTATAAATATCTAATCTTGATACAAACAAAAAACCAATCATAAACCCTAATAACACATAGAAAAAGTAACTTAATCCTTGTCTTAATGCAAAACCCTATTACAAAAAATATAAATATAAAAATAAATCAAATTGCTAACTCGTTTAACAATCAATTATATTGTTTACTTATATCATAACGCATGCGTTTCTTAACTCCACATTATCCTTTGATGTAATTAACAAGAATGATTACCACACACGAAGGGGTATGCTATCTCAGAAACAAGATCCTGCAATGCATGGGATTGAAGAATCAAACTTTATTCCCAAAGAAGAAAAATTGAAAGTGGTCAATGTCTGGATTAATTGAAAAATATACCTTTTGGTTCACTAGCATGGACTCCTTTGGTTACCCTCTGGCCCGGGAGAGTCCCTATGGTAAGTGTACATGTGTCATTTGTCTTCCCATGTTACAAACCATGGAGTGGGACCAAAATGGCTGAAAATCGAAAGCGTGGCACTTTAGAAATAGAGGAGGTAATAATGCCATCCAACCATGCAATCTATCACTTATTGATTCATTAAATATCTAGCTCGGTTGTTTTGTGGCCAAATAGTTGAGCTAACTTTCAGTAACACAATTATTTGCTGATGGAAATCGAAAGAGAGCAGTGGTTTTATCAGCGGGAGAATATAGTCTACATTGTGACGTATAACAAAATAATATACAACTTATATACGAAAGATTGTATCTTAAATATTCCCAAGATCCGAGATTTTTATGATAAAATCTCGCACTTCATAATAGGTGATAGTGTTTGAAACATCTTGGATGTTAACTGTCAGTTAGTAAACACTGAGATCCTTAGTCGTTAACTGCATATCCAGCGATTCACTGTTCCAGACTTCTAGTGCATATCATACAACGGAGATTAGTAGAATTTTGCAGATTCATAATCAAAGATGGTTTTGTCTTCTGCAGTAAAGGAGAAAGAGAGAAAATATCATGGAATATGGCTTTTCTGGCAAAGCTCATTTTCCGCACCACGAAAACAGATGAGAGGTCGCAAAATCAATGGACTGATAGAGCTAAACTGTCATGAATTGCAAAAGGAACGGATGCAGATAAGTTTAAAAGGAGAAAGCAGCAAAACAAGCTGAAAGCAGACCAATTTGCTTTTACTCCATTTATGGTAAAAAATAATTAACTGTCACTGTCACTGTCACTGTCCCATTCACAGCTCATCATGTTTCACCATCTAGCATGCATCAGCCAAAAAATCTGTCTTTCAGGAACTGGAGTCTCTAAAAAAATTAAAGAGAGGACTCTTCCTTTTATTGTAGTGTCACTGTTGTTGTTCTTATTATTGTATTATTCATTTGGATGAATAAATCAAGAGGAGGACCCTTAATTAGTGGGTTCAATTAGTAGTTAGAGCTACGTCACCAATCCCATTCTCTCTCTTCTGGACTTATTCTTGCATGGTGTTGTTTAATTTAAGGACCCAACTAAAGAATTCTCGCATACATCCGGAGATATATTATGTTTTTCATATAACACTCCAATAAAGAGGAGATTTTGCATTCAGTCGAAGATAATTCATGTTTTTCATACAACACTCCAATTATAGGGTATCGTGATAGGTGTTGTAGAAACGTATTGAATAATCCAGCAGCTTATAGCATTTGAGTCACAGAGTCTCATAATGAGTGAATGGATGTATCATTCTAGTCCTATAACACTACAGTCATAGGGTCTCGTGACGAGTGTTAAGGAAAGAGACAGAGATATATTTGCGATTACAGGACAAATTCTATCAACACCGGATCAAAATGTGTAAGAAACTAGTGGAATTTCACTATTAATAGATCTGAAATTCAATGAATTTGCAAATTAGGACAAGAATTCCAAGAAATGAGTACGGAATGAAAGTACTTTTGGGTACAATTAGTTTGATGAAAAAATTTGATCAGAAGAAGGAAGAGAAAGACACAGGCTTTATTCTATTTGCATCAAAGTCGCCAACCAAAGGGAAAGATAATGTCTCATGGCATTTGCTTTCCATCCTAAAAACAGAAGAGTACTAAACTGTACAATTACACAAAAACAGAGGACAAAGTAAAAAGTAGAAGAGAGATTATCAGAATTTAAGCCCTTCACATTTAAAAGCCATAAGAGCCAAAAAAAAACTGAAAAGCCAAAAAAGAAAAGAGAGAGAGAGAGAGAGATTTAAGATGATTTACACAAAACTCTTACTTAATTAACGTCTAATTAGCAGTTGGAAACTGCTAATTATTATAGTCCCATAACAAACCCTCAAACCCAACTGAACTCGCCGCCCCTAACTCACCGCATTCGAACTCCTCAACGCGCTGCAGCCACGGCGGCGGATAAACCCATTGGTCCTCCGACTCCACAAACACGAACTCGCTTCTCAACTCGGTCGACTCGTAACTCAGACTCGGCAACTCGACGATCTCGCTCAGCTCATCCGACTCGGTCGACAGGTTGTCTATAGCCGAGACGAGCGAGGACAGCGACGAGGAGGAGGAAGAGGAGAGTATGGAGGGCGACATTGACCGGATGGAGTCGAACTGATGCATTTGGGCTGCTTTGGTGGCGGCGGCCTGGACGTCGCGGGGGGCGAGAGAAACTGGGCGAGGCAAAGAGTTGGAGAGCTCCGGGAAGTTGAGAATCGCCGAGTTGCCCTTGATGCTCAAGGCGGCGACGTCGTGGGCCCGGGCGGCCATTTCAGGAGTCGGGAAGGTGCCGAGCCAAATGCGCGATTTCTTGCGGGGCTCGCGGATTTCGGATACCCATTTGCCCCAGTTCCTCATTCGGACCCCCCGATAAACCGGGTGCTTGCTGGAGTCTCTGACCCGTTTGGCATTGTTTTTGGTGGGTAAGTCGGTTTCTTGGTGAATTGGCGAGCTGGGTTTTTGTGGGTTTTGGTTTTGGAGTGAGGAAGGCGAGGAAGGAGGCGATGCGGAAGTGGATGAGTTGGAGTTGCTCTCAGTTTCTGAACTTTGGGGTTGATCAGCGCTCATTGCTAACGGTACCTTGTACGCGTTTGTGGAATGTCTCAATGAAAAGACTCTGTATTTTGTGGTGAAAGAGAGTAGCACTCGTTTTCTTTAGCAGGGGAATGGAAATGGAAATCGGAGCATGCAAAGTTATGGAGGACAGGTTTTAATTATTTTTCTTTTTTTTTTTGTATTTGATATCTTTTCCGAATGAGTCTCCAACACTTATAGAGAATGAAAGTGAGAGAGAGAGAAAAAGAAAGTGACAAACAAGAAATAAGGGGGGAGAGAGAGGGGGGAGAGAGAGAGAGAGAGACTAGCAGCACCACGCAAGCCATTTATTCCTATTTTTTCACCCATATTTCACTGTTCATTTATGCCTTTTTTTCCTTCCTCTTTGTCGACCTCCTTACCAAGTTAATCCTCATGGATTAGGGTTTTGTTTTTTTTAATACAAGTGATATTCTTACTCTAAACTACCCTAAGAGGAGGAGGAATGGTATGAGCCAGGGACGCATTGGATTTTAAGAGAAAATCCATAACCACATGGGCAATTAATACCACTTATGTAATTAATCATGATAGATTAGAGTTTAGTTTATCCTGATAGATTGTAGTTATGAAACTCTAAAGCTAGTATGCGCTACTAATTTCAACATTCTAGCAACATAACATATCATATTTAGAAATTTTTCTCTAAATGTATTTGTATAAAAATTCAAATTCTTGCAATTACTTTCTTGATCAAATTGAAATTTTAATTACTATTTAGTTGGGGGTTGTTGGAGAGCTTGCATTATCTTCTTCCTCCTTTTCGACCTCTTTAATTACCTGGTAATCCATGTAGTTATAGATATAAGATTACGTTCTCTAATCAGATGTCCAAAAATGTCACTAAACTCTATCATAAGGATGCACTACTAATTTCAACAATCTAACAATGTAACATGTTATGTCTTCGAAACAAATTTCTGAATGTGTGTACATAAAGCGACATTCTTGTGATTTCTTTTGTTGAGCAAATTGTTATTTTAATTAGTGTTTGGTAGAGAGGAAAATTCATCAGCTAAAGGAGAGAAAAAAACAGAGAAAAAAAAGAAGAGGAGATAAGGATGGTTTTGATGAATTAGTACGTGTGGTATAATCAAGAGGGGTTTGTGTGAGGTGGCAATCAGTAAGGGTTTAAGCGTCGTCATCGTATGGTCCATGACTCCATACTGTTGCATGATGTACAAATATTTAATTATCATCTTGCATCACATTGTAAGACAAGTAAGCAATAAATACATATACATACAAAAAAAAAATACAAAAAAAAAAAAAACAAACGAGAGTGACTTTACTGTGGAGTGAGAAGATTGTAAAAATCATGGTGAGTATCAATAACTTTGTCAATTACATCACTTGATTCGAGTGATCTTGAAGCTCTAATATGATTAGAATAACAAAGAGTTGATTGACTAATTACATATGTCCTACATATTTGGTAAGACTTATTATGGTGGGTTTAAAATATATAATGTGATTATGAGTATCTCTCATGTAACAATAGGCTTGATTGAGAGATATTAGCAACTGTATAAGGATTGTTCCTGCTCTTACAATAAACATCTATTATGTACTAAACCTGTTTATAGATAGTAAAAGACATTTTTATGCATAGCCAATTCATTGTTAGCCCCAAGAGCCATGTCTTCCTCTTTACATATAAGTTAATTGTAATCGGTTTGTTGAATTATTGGTTTATTGAATCCATGATCCTAATGTCACGTTGGTGTGATTTCAGAATATAGCTTACAAAGATATATACTACCAGTCTACCACTATAACATCTATAACATAAGGAGAACGACTTTTATAACACAAATTACACAATTATTGACGTTTCGTGCTAATAATAATATATGTCATGTTGAAAGAAATTTATACATAATATATTATGGACGAAAAATATTTGATGATATATTTGTGGCATATAAGTTGGTATCCTCTAATAGAGAATATGGGATCTAGAGCCTCCTCTCGGTTTAGTTAATCAATTGGGTATGAATCATTAGTTCAAAACAATTTGAGTAGTTAAATAATAGTGAGTGCAAAGTTCCATCCATTTTGTACCTTCCTTTTCCACTTTGTGATTTCATCATACAAGTGGGTCTAGGACATTTTTTTGAATATTGTTCATATATACAATCAACAAACGAATTTTTTTTTAGTCATATAATTATTTTAAGATAAATAAATTAACTCAGTACGTATTTTGATTCAATAATGAATTATTATATTGTTAATCAAACGGAAAACAAAATTTTTAATTTTATTAAGTTTGGCTTTTATATTAGTATCCCACAAAATGTTGAATGAAACCCACATTAAAATTTAATATTAAATAACTTATTTATCCTACTATGCAATAACAATTTTGACCTTATTAGATTAAAAAAATAAAATATATACACCCCAAATCATTTTTAACGTATTATTTATCTTCTTCAACCATCAAAACTCATCTGACACTCTATTGTTGAACAAAATCCTAACCAATGAAACTACAAACATGTTGATTGAGAAAAATTATTTTTGACGAATGAAACACGAAATCAATGTTTCGGAAGCTTCACATCAGGTAAGACTTCATATTATTTTTTGTTTTAGTGATTTTGATGATATCGATAATAATTTAATCTTGCTTTTGATGCGTTATACAAGCTTCTATGTTCGTATTCATCTTTTAGGGATCACAGGGACTACATGAAGAATTAAACAACTAAAATTACCACCAAATATTAAAAACAAACGACATGGGTTTTAATTGTGGAATTGAAAACAACTCACATATGCTTTAAATCTCAGGCGGCATCTTTTGTCAAAATTTTAGTTGGCATTTTTTGTCCAAATTAAAAGCTTTATAAGATTTGAGAAATGTGGGGTTTATAGAAAATATGGGGTGCATATAGAAAATGTAAGGTGTATATTAAGAATGTGGGGTATGAGGGTATTATGGGGAAATATGTGGGGTGTATTAAGATAATTTTTAATTAAAAAAGCAAATGTGGGGTGTATTAAGTATGTGGGGTTTATTCAACAATTTGTGGGGTGTTAATATAATAAGCCTTAAGTTTTTGCATAAATAAATTTTATAGGGTAAATTACATTTTACACCCTCAAGTTTGGTGCATTTGCAATCTCATACAACATTTTTAAAACATTTCAATTTCATACACAAACTTTTATTTAATTGCAATTGCATACATCCGTTAGTCAAACCATCAATTTGACTGTTAATTGATGACGTGGCAAATGTAGAGCCCATATTTTTGCTTATGTGGATCTCATAAATATGCCACATAGGAAGAAAAAAAAAGAAATATATAATTATTTTAAATTTTAATTTAAAAGAAATCTATTTAAAATGTAAAGAAAAATTATGCACATTATGTTATAACAGAGTAGCCCACCCCAATACCCCATCTTTAACATCTTTTCCCCTTCCGTCAGAGATCTCCTCCCTCTGGCAACGAGCTTCAGTGGAGGAGAGGATTAGGATTTCGTTGCAGAAGCATTTGTTTGAGAATGCTTTAGAGAATGCGGTGGCGCCGCGGAGAGCTGACCCAAATAGACATATCCTAACCCGCCATCCCCGATTTTGCGTTTCGGGTCGAATTGGTTTGTGGAGGATCTAAGTTGTTCGTATGTGAAAACTGAAGGGAGGAGGTTGGCGAAGTGGTTTGGGGGCTACGATGGTGATGGGGAAAGGGGGGTGGCTGCGGCTCTGCTGCTGCTGCTCATGTGGCTTGGGAACCATTAGATCTGTGGATCCATGAAATAAAAAACAAGGAAAAGATTTTTGGTTTATGTATATCAAAACAAAACTTATGGAAGATGATGAGATTGTTCAACGGAGAAAGTCAATGGTTGTATTCAAAAGGGATTCTAATGGGGGAGGAAAATATTGGGCAAAACTGAAAAAATAAAAACTTTGATCTTTCTCTTCAGCAGACAAGCCCTATAAAATACCAACAATGGAGACCTCGAAGCCAGCAAAAAAGATGGGTCAGGAAAGATGAGGGTGGGGGTGGCTGAGGGCGGATGAGAAATTGAGTCGAAGAGAGATGCAGATGGAATGGTAGAATTGGCATAAAAATATTTTCTTTTTTAAATTGATTTATCTATATATTTTTTTTATCTATGTGGAATAGGGGTGGGCACGGACCGGGCCGAGTCCAAAATTGAACGAACCGAACTAGGCCCGTTATACATAAAACAAGGTGGGGCGGGGTGGGTTTTGGATTTTTCAAAATGGGATCCAGACCTAACCCGGACTGTTGAAACGGGCTGGTTCCTACAAGTCCACACGGGTCCAAATCTTCATTCACATCTATATGGTCTTCGTCATCCCCTTCGTTCCCCTCCCCAGCGTATTCGCTGATGCCTTGAGCAAATCCTTCATACTGTAACCCATCTAATGATCCCCTGCTTCACAAAACACCAAACTCCCTAACCCTTCACCTTCCCACGAAAACCCACCCCATTTCCCACCATTATTACTTCCCTTATTGCTGGGCATCTCCCCTGATCCTTCTCCTCTCTCTATTGCCAGCTTAGCACCCCCAACAACCCCGCATTTGCTCATCCTCGCCTCTCTGCCACCGTCGCGACTCATCCGACACATTATCCATAACAGAACCGGGCAGATTACGATTAGATGTGCAACCCTCTTCCCACCATGTCCATACCCCAAAAAATGCCTACAGATTTGCACCAAAAACAAAATCAAGTAAAACATAAAAATATAGTAATACAAAAAAAAAAAAATCCAGCAAAAGCTACAAAATCCAATAATGATTAAAGCAATTTTTTTTTTGGGTAAAAGACTGTTTACTACCCTCATATTTCATGGTTTTCAACATTTAGTACATCAAGTTTTTTTCGTCTGAGAGTCATACCTAAAGTGTAAATTTTGGGACAGTCTCATACATCCGTTAGTCAAACTGTTAAATGTGCCGTTAATTGTGACGTAGCGCCCA